AAGAGCTTTTTATTAATCTAACTATACCCTAAATACGTATATTTCTTTTTAAACTAAAGCCCGAGAGGTATATACGTTTACTAAATAACTTATTACTTATAATATATTATTAATTTAACTACGTATTACTTATTTTTTTTTATTTTAACTATAATAATTCTTTTATTAATAAATTACTTAAAGGACTTATTTAATATACTCTTTATAAACCCGTTAGCTAGGTTATTATTATTATTAATTTAATAGATTTTATAAAACTCGTAGCGTTTATATAATTATTAAAATACTATAATATTTATTATAAAGCGCTTTTTTTTCATAATACTTAGCTTAATAAGATATTTATATAATAAGTATAAATTTATATAAATTATAATCCCCCCAACGGAGCAATCCGCCGGGGCCGTACTATATATTACGTATTAAGGAAAACTAGGTATAATGCGCTCTATACCTAATTACTAACTAAAATAGTTAACTAACTTAATTATTATCTCCCTTTTATTAATAGTTCTTAACCTTTTATTACTTACTTATAAAGCGAGCTTTATTTATTTTAATACGTATAAAACCTCTTAATACTAACCTACGTAAATAGCTAAGTTTAATATAATTTATTTTTTTATATAAGTATTATTATTACTTAGGGGGTCCCGTAAGAGCTATTTAAAGTACTAGCTTATTATTTTAATTTTATATATTTCTAACCCGTTTATTATAGCTATTATAACTAGGCTAGCGTTAATATATTAAATTTTAATATTTATACTAGCTTAGCTATTTATAATACTTATAATATTATTTAACTAAATTTTATATTATTAAAAAGTACTTTACTACTTTTTAAGCGTACTTACGTTAGTTACGATAGTTATAGTATCGAGCTAACTAAAGAGGGTACTTAGCCCGAGAGGGGTAAACTTATTAATAAGTATCTTTAGCTTACTAATTACTAACTATATATTAAGAGAATAAGTTCTCGTTAAGGTAGTATTTTAACTAGCTAATTTCTTAACTAGTTATCTAACTAGCTATCTAAATAGTAGTTTATATATTAATAGGTTTATTTAGTAAATTTATTTAGTAAATTTATTTAATTTAAATAGAGAGTAGTTTTAAGTAATATTAGAAATAATAAGGATAAAAAAAATCTTTACGAGCTCTAAAGAGTAATAAATATTAACCTATTTAGCCCTTTTTTTAAAAACCTCTACGTCGCTATTAAAGTTTAAAACTTTTATAATTAAAAAAGGCCGTTTCTAATTATTATAACTAACTATTATAGCTAACTATTATAACTAACTATTATAACTAACCTCTATTATTAACTTTTTTAACTAGCGCTATTATAAAATAACTTACTTATTTTAAATTAAATAGTAGTTTTTATATTAAAATTATTATATTATATTAAGCGCGTACTTAGGATATATTGCGCATATTATATAGTTAAAAAGTATACTATATTATATAATTTCTTTTAAAAGCGTAATCCTATTAAGGTCGATCTTTTATACTTATAAAGCTAAAAAAAAAACTACTATATATAAATTATAATAAGGATTTTTAAAACGTTAAGTTATTTAGTAATAAAGTCTAGAGTAGTTAAAATAGTATAAACGACGTTAATACTTATAATTATTTTATAAACCTCTAATATTAATACGCTCTAAATAATCCTTTTATTTTTTATAGAACTATAATAAATAATATTATTATTAATTATAAAACTCTTATTAATCTATTTTTTATTTATAAAAATAATAATATAACTTAACTATAAGGTATAATTAGCGTTATTTATAAATAACCCGTTTATAAAAATAAAAAGTTTAATTATAATTAGATTTAATAATACGAATATAAGCCCTCGGTCTAGGTAATTTATTTATTATTTAATATAATAGTTTAGTATAGCATAATTAATAAATAACGGATTTATTTAGTATTAAATAGTAAGTAATATATTAAAAGCTATTTTTAATTAATAAATTAATACGATATAAGTACTTCGAGCTTACTACTTAACGAATTATTATTTAGTATTTAATACTAAGGGGTTAACTTATTTAAGCTTCTTTTTTTAGTTTTTTTATTTAAATAGTATATTAATATTTTTTAATTAAATAATTCTATTATTAAAAATAAGCGGCTCGTTAGCTAATAGTTATTATTTTAGTTTAGTTAGTAACTTAGCGTACTTAAGCTCGGTTTCTTTTTTTTAACTAAAGGTTTTATTTAATAATCTAATTATATTATTAGTTTATATTTTAATAATACCGAATAATCCGCTTTTTTTATTAAGATTAGTAAGTATAAGTCGAATATAGATATTATTATTTAGAGTATTTTTAAATAATACTTATTATATATTACTTATTAATAAGTATTAAATTTTATAAGACTATATAGTAGCTATATAACGTATAGAATAATACCCTTAGGGTATAAATAATAAGTCCAAGTTAATAATTAAATAAAAACCTTATAATAAAGAGGTTAGCTCGATTATATATATACTTAAATAATATTTTATAACTAAATAATATAGCTTTTTTAAATTAAGGTCGGGGCTAGGGCGAGGATTAAACGTTAATTAGTTTTTTAAATTATTAATAACTACGTAAAGATCTCTTTTTTTTTTTTAATTATTATACTCTTATATAACTAAGTAAGACTTTTTAATAAGGTTAAGTCCTAGGTTTTTAATTTTATTAATAAATTAAGACTTAAATATCTTTATATCTCTATATTTAGGGCTAAGTTAGACAAATTTAATTATACCTTTCTTAACTAATCCTAAAAGCTCTTTATTAATAAATTTAATAAAAAATATTCTTAATATAGTTATAATACCCTTATTATAAAGCTAAGTAACTAGCTTAAAATTTACTTTTTTTTTTAAATATAAAATAAGTAATAATTATAAAAATATTACCGCAGCTGTACTATATTAATATTTTTCTAATCCTCTTTTTTTATAATAAAAAGTTATTATTAATTATTATAACGATCTTATTAAGGACCTCGTTAATAATAGTACTATTATTAATTAGTTAGTTAATTATAAGGATTAATAAGTAGTTAATATACTCTATTACTATAGCTAATAGCTCGGGGTCGACCTCTTCTAAGTACTAGAGTTTAATTATAATAACTTAGAAACTTAGCAAGTTATAAAATAAGTTTATTACGTAAGTAGTACTATTTATTAAAACGAGCTTAAATAAGCCTTTTTATTTTTTACTTTTTTATTAAATTTTAATATCTAATTAGAATAATAAATTAATAATATAAGAAATATTTAGTCTATTTTAAGTAGCTAGTACCTCGCTTATTTACTTATTAATATAAAGTCTACGGACTTTTTTTATTACTTTTTTAATTACTTTAATACGTTAAATAATATTTAATAATAATAAAGAGTTATTAAAAGTGCGTAAAAAAACTCTAAAAACGAGGAATATAAAAACGAGGCTATTTAAGCCGACTATATTATTAATTACTTTAATTATAACTTAAAATATAGCCTCTATGCTTATTAATAAGTACTTATTTTAAATAATATTATATACTTTTTTAAATATTATATAGTATTTCTTTGTTTTATTAATACTATTATAAGCTTTAACGGGTACTTCTTTAACTTTAATAAATATAGATCTAATAAAAGATTTAAACTTTATATAATAGTTTTTTTCCGGCTTTATAAGTATAAAAGATTAACCTTAATAGGATTACGCTTTTAAAAAAAATTATATAATATAGTATACTTTTTAACTATATAATATATATAATATGCCCTAAGTACGCGCTTAATATAATATAATAATTTTAATACGAAAACTATTATATAATTCGGGATAAGTAAGCTATTTTCTTTAATAATAACACTAGTTAAAAAGGTTAATAATAGAGGTTAGCTATAATAATTAGTTATTATAGTTAGCTATAATAATTAAAAGCGGCCCTTAATTATAGAAGTTCTGAACTTTAATAGTAACGTAGAGGTTTTTAAAAAAAGGGCTAAATAAGCTAATATTTACTACTTTTTATATTAGAGCTCGTAAAGATTCTTTTTATTTTTATTACTTTTAATATTACCTAAAGCTACTCTCTATTTAAACTAAATAAATCTATTAAATAAATTTACTAAATAAACTTACTAATATATAAACTACTACTCTCTTAGTATATAGTTAATAATTAATAAGTTAGAACTCTTTAAAAATACTTATTAATAAGTTTACCCCTCTCGGGCTAAGTACCCTCTTTAGCTAACTTAACGCTATAATTATTATAACTAACGTAAATATACTTAAGGATTAATAAAGTACTTTTTAATAATACAGAATTTAGCTAAGTAATAGTACGAACGTTATAAATAACTAGGCTAATACGGATATTAAAATTTAATATATTAATATTAGTTTAGAAATTATATTTTATAAAATTAGAAATCTTTTTAATATAAGTTATATTATAAATATAAAAGAATATATAAGGGGCCCCTTAATTTTTAATAAAAAAGAGTATATAATATAGGATCTAATTACTTATATAAATTAGTATTAAAAAGTTTTATATATATTAAAGTAAGTATAGCTTACTTTTTAAATAACTAGAACTTAGAGAACTATAAAAGAAGGTTAAGAGTTTTAATTAGTAATTAGGTATAGAGCGCAATATACTTAGTTTTTTTTAATACGTAATATATAGTACGGCCCCGGTGGATTACTCTATTGGGGGGGATTTAAACTTTATAATATTAAAGTTTTTATTAGTATTTATAATAATCTAGTTTAATAAACCGAAGTAAACGTCGATTTAATATAATTAAAAAGCTTCCTATATATATTTTATAATTATATTTATAAAGAACCTTACTACTTAAAAAAAATAGTAATATTAATAACGTAAAGTACTAATCGGTTAGTACTCTTATAGTTTATTAAGTATATTACGTTAATAACGATTTTATACTTTAAATCGTAATTATTTTATAAAATAAATTTAAATCGGCTAAGGGTAGTACTATTAAATTAATATTATTAGTAAACTTTTATAAGCTTTTTAAGGGCTACGATTTTTACGTCGTTACTAAATTACTAAAATAACTTTAAGAAATAAAAAACTAAAGGGTAACCGAAGTACTAATATAAGTAGTATAATTTGCCCTTTATTAAGTAATTAATAATAGTTTTTTTATTATTAAAGAGTAAAAGCTAAGGGTATCCCTATTTATAAATAATAAGTACTATAATATCTCCCTTAATTAAGAAATTATTAATATTATTAAAATATACTCCTAGCTTATTTATATCCCTTAAGTAATATAAAAAAGGAGTATTAGTTAGTAAAATATAAAAAGTAATATTACTAAATAGGGTATTAATAACTATAGATCTTAACGACTTTACGGGTTTATTATTATTAAACCGGATACTTACTTCGTTAACTTTAAAAATATTAAAAATAACTTTAAATTATTATTATTATAATATAAAGAATTAAGAGTAGCCCGTAGTTAAGAATTCCGTAGTACTAATATTAAGTATAATATTTTAAAAATCTTTTAATAAGTACTTTTTATTTAATAAAAAAGAAGTCGTTAGTTCTATAAGCTTAGTTAACTCGTTAATAAAAATAGTATTAATAAGGTTATATTTTATTACTTAAGTAATAAGGATATTTATAAAAGTTTTATTATTAATAATAGTTATATAGTAGTTTTTTTCCGGCTTTATAAGTATAAAAGATCGACCTTAACGGGATTACGCTTTTAAAGGAAATTATATAATACGGTATACTTTTTAACTATATAATATGCGTAATATATCCTAAGTATGTGCTTAATATAATATAGTAATTTTAATACGAAAACCGCTATATAATTTGGGATAGGTAAGCTACCCTCTTTATTACGTAATAGTACTAGTTAAAAAGGTTAATAATAGAGGTTAGCTATAATAATTAGCTATAATAATCGGCTATAATAATTAAAAGTAGCCTTTTTTAACTATAGAAGTTCTAAACTTTAATAGTAACGTAGAGGTTTTTAAAAAAAAGGGCTAAATAAGCTAATATTTATTACTCGTACTAAAGCTCGTAAAAATTTTTTTTATCCTTATTATTTCTAATATTACTTAAAGCTATTCTCTATTTAAACTAAATAAATTTACTAAATAAATCTACTAAATAAACTTATTAATATATAAACTACTACTTAGATAGCTAGTTAAATAACTAGTTAAGAGGTTAGCTAGTTAAAATACTACCTTAACGAGAACTTAAAAATGCCCGTTAATAAGTCTACCCCTCTCGGGCTAGGCGCCCTCGGCTAGCTTAACGCTATAGCTATTATAACTAACGTAAATATACCCGAGGATTAGTAAAATACTTTTTAATAATACGGAATTTAGCTAGGTAATAGTACGAATACCATAAATAACTAAGCTAATACGGACGTTAAAATTTAGTATATTAATACTAATTTAGAAATTATACTTTATAAAACTAAAAATCCTTTTAATATAAGTTATATTATAAATATAAGAGAATATATAAGGGGCCCCTTAACCTTTAATAAAAAGGAGTATATAATATAGGATTTAGCTACTTACGCAAGCTAATACTAAGAGGTTTTATATATATTAAAATAAATATAGCTCGCCCTCTAAATAGCTAGAAGTAGGGGAAGGTTAGGAGCTATTTTAATTAATAATTAGGTATAGAACGTAATATACTTAGTTTTTTTTAATACGTAATATATAGTATAGCCCCGGTAGATTACTCTGTCGGGGGGTTAATAATAGTTATAAAATATATTATTAAAATCTAAACTTCGTTTTTATAATTATTTTTATAATTAAAATCGAGGCTATTAAAATATTAAATTATAATATTATTATTATCGTCGTCGTTAGTAAGGGCGGTTCTTTTATAAAAAGTAAGGAATTATAAATATAAGCTTAGTATAAATCTCTTATTTTTTTCTTTATTATTTTTATATTTTTAATATACTTAACGTTACTCTTTTTTTAAATACCTAATTAATTAATAGCCGGTTTTATAATAAATAAAGTACTTTCTATTAATAATACTACGGCTATATTAATTTTACTTATTAAATCGGGTTTTTTTATTAAAGCTATTATAAATATAATCGGTTTAATAAATAGCGGGGACCTCTTTATTATAAATACTATTTTAAAAATATTATTACTACTTATTATAGTTATACTCTCCTTTTATAATATTAATTAAAGTACTAAGCTAGTAATAAATATTAATAAATATAAATACTAAGTTAAATATAATAAGTTTATATTTTAATATATTACTTACGTAATAAAAGAGTTAGTTATTTATATTAAAAATAGATCCTTATATAACTAGCGCTTTATAAAGAATTATAATACGATTAATAAGCGCTTATAAGATTTATTAGTTCGACTTACTTAGATTCTTATAAATTATAAAGTACTAATAGAGGTTTTAAAGCTTAGTAAAGTAGTTTTAATAACTTATAAGTAGTTTAAAATACTCCTAAGTCCTTTAGTATATTATATCGAAGCTAAGTAGGTTAGAAGTATTACTAAGTTAATTAAAATAAAAGGTTAACGCCCTTTTTTTAAGTATATTTAAAAAAGTACTAAAATAGTACCGTTTATTAATTCCTACCCGTTAGTATAATATTTTAAAAATCTAAAGCTTTTTATTAAAAATATTATATTTCTCGCTATTATACTTATTTTTATTATTATAAAGCTTAGTAAAGTTAATTAATTAGTAAGTATTAAATATAATATTATTTTTAGTTTTTATATCGAAATATAATATTTAATAAAATAAATTTTATTATTAAATAATAATAACTATATTCTTTAATTCTTTTTCTTTTTTAAAAAAAAAAGTAATAAGTTAGTTAGTTAATAACGAGGCTAAGTATTACGGCTAGCTTATTATAATAAGTATATTAATAAAAATTAAAGCTACGAGTACTAAGTAAATAGTATTATAATTATAAATAGCTTCTCTAGAGCTATATTTATAAGTTATAAAGTAAGTAAGGCTTTAATAATTAATTATAGTCTTATTAAAAGAGGTTCTTAATAAAAATAGCTAAAAATAATTATAAGATCTAATATTAAGTTAATTACTAAAAAAGCTATAAAAAGTTTATTTTTAAGCCCGGCTTAAGTTTATACTATATATAAATCTCGTTTTTAAATATATCCTTTATAACGTTTTTATTTATTATTATTTAACTATTTATTAAATAATTATTTATTTTATTTATTTATAATCGTTCGTTTTATTTATTTACGAGCGTCCGTTTTTTATTTTATTATGTAATCGTAGTTACGTAACTTATTTATAGTTTTTTTATTTTAAAAAAAGTTATTCTAAGTCCGTATTTTTATATATATAGTATAGTAACTATTATAAGTCCCGTAGGGCGGGACCTTAGCTTTATTATATATATTAAGTTATAATATTAGCTTTTCTTTTTAAAAGTCTAATCCTCTAAGCTTATAAATAAGTTATTTATTTTTAAATTAAGAGATTATTAAATATTTTTTTTAAAATATACTAATATAATATTAAGTTAAATTAAAAAATCGAAATCTTTAATAGTTATATCTCGTTATAAATTATTACGTATTATTTATTTTTTTAATAAAAGTATAAAAATAATATTTTATTTAAATTATTATTTATAAGGGGTCTATTACTTAGTTCTTTTTAATTCTAAGGTTTATAAAATATACTATTATTTAGGTATTTTATATAATATTTTTATTAATATTATTTATATTTATAAGTATTATATTTTTATTTATTAGGTTTTAGCTAATTAAGTATAGTTAGTTAGTTAATAACGGAGTTTAATTATTTTAATTATAAAAAAAAAGTAAAAAAGTCGTAGTTTTAAAAAAGAGCTATAGAGTTATAAAAAAAGGCTAAGGCTTATTAATAAGCTTAAACTAAGTTAAATAAGTTATTATTTAAGTTAGAGCGTTTTTATTTTTAAAAGCGAATAGTATTTAAAAAAAATTAAATTATATTAAAAGAGTTTTTTAAAAATTCTAAAAATACTTTTTTAGCGGTTTATAAAATATAAGTTAATAATATTTTTAAAATTATTAATTAGAACGCCGTAATAGCTAGAAGTTCTAAATTTAAATTTAATTTTAATATTCCTTAAGAAATTATTAAAAGTTTTAAAAGTTTATAATAAGTTCTTATATATTCTTTTTATATTTATAGTTTTTCTATTTAATAAGATATTCCTTTTTATTATCCTTTATTTTATAATTAATAATTCGTTTAATTTTATATTTTAATTAGTTTAGTTTAATAATAATATAATTTTCTATATATAAATCTCTTAATATAAGCTCGAGTAATAAGATATAAAAAACGGGGTAATATCGTATTATATTTAGTAATCTTAATTCGTAATTAATTAATAAGACCTTTTTAATAATTTTAAAAGGTCTAAGTTTTTTATAATCTAATTTATTACTTAGTCGTTTTATTTTAATATTATAATAAAGGAGATAGGTATTATCCCCCTTTTTTAAAAATAGTTTTTTAATTCTTAATTTATTCCTATTTTTATTTATATACTATTATATAAATTCGAGGTTTATTAATACTTATTTATAAATTTCTTTAAGTTTACTTACGTTTATTATAACTTTTATAGCTTATAATCTTTATTATACTTTTTTATATATTATTAATTAAAATCTATAGTTAAGGTAAAACGGGGATTCTCTTATACTTTTATTAACTATACTATTATATACGAACTAGATTATTAATAAAAGTACTACTTAATTATTCTAATTATAGTTTATATAATAATAGAGGTATATTTTAAGGATTTAGTTAATCCTTTTTATTTATCTATTAGTTTATAAATAAAATAATATTAATAGTTTATAGTCTATACTAAGTTATAAAATTAGTAATTTTTAAAATTTTAAAATAAATAGCTTATCCTTATTAGAGATAATTCTTTTTAGTAAACTATAATTTAAAAATATAACTTTAGTAAATACGTATACTAAGTTTTTTATTATACTAAATCTTTTATAGGGAATAAAATATTAAAAATATATAGGATATAGAGGACTCTCATAGTACGGTACTTTAGAAAAACTATTAATACTTATAAAAGTAATATAAAATACCTCTTTTAATTAGGTTAATATAGCCTTAATTAATAAAGTTATAACTAAAGAAAGAGAATAGTATTAGCTAGATTAGAAAAATAAACTTCTTAATTATCTTATATTATTATATTTAAAAATAAATTATTAAAAAAGCTCTAGTTCGATTTTAAAAAGTATATATATAATTAAAATAAAAATCCGCGCTATTAAACTTATTATTTTTAATTAGGGCTTTTTTTTTATATTTTATTCTAATTAGCCCT